AATCATCCACACCTGGCTGTTTCACATTTATAATCCTCTCATTTGGCTGGATGAACCAATTCCATTATCATCAGGTGCGAGCTGTCTTACTGCAGATAACTTGCATCTCCCTCAGCACCTTATTTCTTGACACAGCTGTTTAAACTCCACTTTTAAAGCACTAAAATCACCTTCCTTTACAATCTGCTTGACAACCACAGTGCTAGGGTGGCAAGAACATACTATGTTTGCAGGACAGTCTCCTCAGGGGCACACACTCCCATTAGGGATCAGCACCCCTGGCTGCTGGTCAGTACTCTGGCACTACAGTTTTCTCCAAGCCTGCCCACCTTCTGCCCACTCCACAGTGCCTGCTGAGTGCCTACTAGTGCCAGGGCCTCTACCCACAGCACAGGCTATGTGGGTGGGTACCAGTCTATCCTCAGCAGGTGTTGGGCTGTTGATCTGTAGGGTGAGGGAAAGGGCTGCCCAGGGCCCCAGGACCACTGCTCAGAGCTGGGCAGAGGCCACCTGCTTGGAGTCTAGATGCTGTAGTTTCCACCACCTGCAGCATTTGACTCCCACAAATGAATGTCCTTGTATCCTGCTCTCCCCTCCTTGACACATGCTGGCTAGTTGTCTCTTGGACAGATGGTGGGGCAAAGGTTCTCCCATGGTGTTTTGTGGTGGCCCAGTCTGCCTCTAGGGCCCTAGTGGTACCACTGGTTCTAGATGAAAGCAAAACAAGGGTTACCCCTCAGAACTGTGCCTTCTGGCTCTGGAAGGAAAGGGCAGGTGTCCCCAGAAGCATGAGGGTTTGTGGAGTAAAGTAGTGGCTGTGTTGGTATGACTGTCCCCTGCCCCTCAAGCTCCTTGTGTTGCTGTTAGAATCAGGCTCATGCTTATGCCCAGGGCCATGCACAGCAGGCACGCAGCAGGCACACAATGGGCTTGCCACAGGGCTGGGAATGCTGACAGCTCTACTGGGAAATGGGCAGCAAGCTCTCTGTAGGTTTCCACATTAAAACATTTGACACTTTACAACCAGGCCTTTTAATCTGTCCCTTTTAAAGAATTCATCCACCATTAAGCAGCCAGCAGAGTCCATCAGCTGATCTGCAGGGGCAGAGGTTGGAAACTAGGCACCTGCCTTCCCACTTCCCCAAGGATCTCACCAAGTATGCTCTAGGTCCTGCTTCTGATGGGGGAGTGAGGACACATTCCTGCTGGTCACAGTAATGGTCATCTCTCCACATGGGCTGCTAGATGCCAGTGTCTCCACTTCTCCTTGTCTACAGTGGTCCTGAGGCCAGAGTGACCTATCTCTGTCAATTGACACTTATGTAAATGCAGTAAGGAGGAAGAGCAGAGTCCTGGGCCTGGTTGAGTGAAAAGCCCAGAGTAGGTTCTTGGGCCTCTCAGGGACTGTCCTCATGTGAGAGGAAGCATTAGGGGCGGGAAGCTAGCTAGCACCATCCTGCACTTGAGCTTCAGTGCCTCCCCCTATGACAGAAGTAACAGGTGCTGCTGCTTCACAGGATCAGTTAGGGAATGGTGCCTGAGAAAAATCCCCATGCTATCCTGTGTTTTGGCCTCTGGTGCCATCTGGGGGGATACCAGGTGGGGTACTGGAGGCCCATCCAGCTTTAAAGCCCAGGTACCTACCAGGACTGCAAGGGGACAGGGTCTCAATCAGCTCTCCCATTAGGGACCAGCACCCTTGGCTGCTGGTCAGTATTCTGTCACTACATTTTTCTCCAAGCCTGCCCACCTTCTGCCCAATTCTTCCTGGAGACAAGAGCGGAATGCTGGCCAAGGGCAGGTATGGTTCCTTGTTTGCGCTTTGTTGCCACAGTTCATGGGTGGCTGGGAATCCGTCTGCCCTTGCCTCCAGGGTGCTACCCTGTGCTTGCTGCAGCCCTCACAACCAGAAGCCCAGAGATGCTGACACTCTCCTTGGCAACGTGCTGACGTAGGAACCAGCAGGCAAGCTGGGCGGTGGGGGGGGGGGGGTGCTGTGGTTTCTTCACCAGGCATGGGGGCAGGGGGTACCACAGTCTCCATCAGAGGGAAAACAAGGCCCCAGAGATGAGCAGGGAAGGAGTGCTGTGGAGGGGCCTTGTCCAGAGCCTTGGCACTGGACCCGGAGGTTTGTTTGGCTTTTGCAAAAATTAGCATGACTCATTTTTGGCTGACTTGCCTTTGTAGGGGCTGAGAGGACAGTTCAGGGCATTCCAGGAGGCAGAAGGTGGCAGGCTTGTTTTAGCCTCTGTGCAGGTGGAGTAAGCCCTGGCTCAGCTGGAGAGAGGTAAGCAGTTCTCACTGCCTGCACCACCCCATGGCAGCCAGCTGGAGGAATCATGGGAGGGTATTGTCTTTCCTCAGCAGCCTGTTTGTTTTCCATCCCCAGATATTACTGGTGGAGCATGAAAGGTCAGATCCATTTGGAATCCAGTGAATTTCCAGTTTTGCTTGGGTTTCTCATCAAGAATTTCCTTTTCTGGTGAACAATCACTTCCCCAGGCCTGTGGAAACCAGGGTGGTGGTGGTGGCAGCTGCAGGCCCAGCTGCCAGCCCCTTTATTTAGAAAATTCCCTGAACATCCCAGAGCCTGGTTCTTTCACAAGGCAAGCTCAGGCCTCAGAGAGATCCCCATGGGGGGTAGGGCTGGAAGAAGGCTAGAGATCAGGGGCCCACCCAGGCCTCCCAGGGCCTGCCCCCAGGAGCTTGCTGGCTTGTGAGCAATGACCCACCCTGCAATGAATGATTCAATGAAGGAGTGTGCACGCACTGGATAAGGTCATGGAAGGCCACTTAAAGGAGTGTCACTTGGGATGAGCCCTGGCGGATGGGGGAAGAAGACAGGGATGGTCATGAACTTAAGTCTGGGCAAAGCAGTGCTATGAGAGCAAAACAAGCTGTAAATGGCAGAGTAGAAAGAGCAGAGAAAGGCATCAAGGCAGTAGGCATGGGCTAGGTGAAGTCAGAAGGGTTTGGAGCAGGCAATAATTTGGCTTTGGGCCTGTCTTTTGAGGTCATTGGGGCCTCTTCCTTGTTGACAGGTTTGGAGAGCAGAGGTGACTACTCATCTTCCATAAAACTTAGGGTCCAGGCATCCTGCCTCCTGGGTGCAGGCACACCTTGGGCACAGCCAAAGAATGGGTCTGGGAGCCAGGCCAGCACTGAGGGAATTTGCCATGTCCACCCTGGAGAGGATGGATGAGGCATCCCCCAGATACAGATCTGGAAGGCTTTTGAGCAGAGTTTTTTGTCAGCTCCAGGAAACAGTAGAAGATACCTGGGGCAGAGAGCCAACAGCCTAAACCTGTGTGACTAGCAGCCGCAGTGTGGCCAGCAGACCTGCCATGACCTTGTCCTTCGGAACAGCCCAGCCCAGGCACTTCACTTTGCCTCATAGCCTGATCAACCCCAAGCCCTGTCTCTGTCCACAGTAATGTTTTATAAACAAAGCTTGACCTCCCTCATTTGCTGGGATGTCACCTTTATCTAGAACCACTTATGATGCTCAAGTGGGGGCAGCCAGAGAAGTAAAAGGGACTAGAAGATTCAAAGACCACTCACTCACTGACAGACATGGCCTGTGAATAGGGCCATAAGCCACCAGCCTCTTGTGGACTTGACATCTATAGCTCCTTACACCAGCCACTGAAGCCATCAACTCCTGGACACAGTAAAGCCTTAGATATATAAAGAGGAGAGAAAAGAGGTGAATCCTGCCTTCTACTTTTATACTGACCTGACAAAAAGGCCTCAGACCTTCTCTGCCCAGAAAAATGTTCAGGAACCCAGCCCTCCTCCCTTGGAGGCTACAGAACCTAAGTTAGAACCCTTGGATGAACCCAAAGAATAAAGCTATCACCTGCCTTAATAAGAACAGATGAAGGAAGGAGTCCATCCTTGCAGCTGACCCTGGAGGCCCAGTGCTTCAAAGGGGATAGGACAGACCTTCATCTCCCAGCATGATGGAGGTTCCATGTTGACAAGGTCCCCTCACCAACATCATTACTGCCCCCTACGCACCCACAGCTCCATTCATGGCTCCTTGAGGGACCGTTCCCCCCCACCCACACAACTCAAAGGCTATCCCCCCCTCTTTTTTTTTTTCCCTCAGTACTGGGCCTCACACATGCTAGGCAAGCCCTCTACTGAAAAGAAAGGCCTTTTTCTCATAAGAAACCTGTCCTTAAGAAAAAAGCCTTTGCTTAGTGCTCCTGCCAAGCACAAAAACCTCTTTAAAGCAAGAGATGGCCCTCAGGGTGGGGCAGCCCTGGCCACATCCATCACTTCCACTGTTGCTACTCCAAGGTGCCTGGGAAGATTGGGCCTTCTATCTCAGTTGGACCGGAGCATGCTACCCACCATTTCCTTGCCAGGGGCTTGCCTCCCCATCCCTCTCGTCCTGTGGCCTTTAAGGCCTCAGTGCTTTAGGCATGGGTATGATTTGTCCACTGCACTGAGGTGAGGGTAACCTTGCAACCTGGTCTCCTGGAGTCAGCAAGAACCACAAGGGCAGTATGATTTGCAACAGGGAGAGGATGGCTATAACTGATTGTGGGGGTGGTATCCCTGCTTGGTGTGTTGCCAAGGAGTATGGCAACATCTAGAAGGTGTCAGAATATCATGGGTCTGTCAGAGCATGGTCACCTAGGTCAAAATGAGTCCCCCAAGGCCAGGGCAGCTGTGGAGAGCTGTTCTTACAGGGAACCTTTGAGGGCCTAGCATGATCCTACCTGCCAGGAACCACTCTAGGACTGACATCCTGGCAGAAGTGAAGAAGTGACCGTAAGGTCCTATGATTCCCACAACATCCACCACACTCCACAGTGTATTTCCTGAGGACAGAAAGAGGGACACACATGGCCCCATCACATTAGAGCAGACATGTATGGCTAGATCAGGCATAGTTTCAGTTCTACTGCCCATAGCCTCTCCCTGTCCAAGGAGTGTACCTGCTTCCCTGGACGGCAGGAACAAGCCATGAAAACCTGGGCCCCACTCACCGTCTGGTTATCCTCATAGAGCTTCAGGTCATAGCCACTAAGCTCCACACAGAAGATGATGGCAGTGACACCCTCGAAACAGTGGATCCACTTTTTGCGCTCTGACCTCTGTCCGCCTACATCTACCATCTTGAATGTGAGCTCCTTGAAGGTGAATTTGTTCTCCACAATGCCCGTGGTCATGTCCCGGGAACGTAGGATGTCCTCAACAGTGGGAATATAGTCAGGTGCAGCAATGCGCTCCAGGTCATTCAGGTAATAGGCTGCATTGTCCTCCAAGTGGTACTCACTGGAGCGGCCAAAGCATGCCTGTGCCCCAGGATCAGCCCACAGCCGCCGCATGACACCCAGCAGCTCAGGTGTGATCTCACCTTTGCTCTCTGCGGGGCCTGTCAGTGCAAACAGCTGCACAGCATCGTAGGCGCGGTCAGGATTGTGGAAGTCTATCTTGAGGGCAGCAAGGGCCCGGATGATGCGGGTCAGTGAATCAATGGCATTGTAGATGATGAGGGGCTTATACTCCTTGCAGGCCTCCAGGTTGAAGCCACCACTGTGAATGATCTTCATCTGCTTGACAATGGTGCTCTTGCCTGAGTTGCTGGTACCCAGCAGGAGCAGCTTGATTTCACGGCGTTGCCGCTGACTCTCTGAGCGCAGGTGGCGGTCGATTCTCCGGGACCGCCGCGCTGCCTCTTTTTCCTCTGAGCTTTGCCGACATCCCATGGTCCGGCAGCAATAGGCCCAGATGTGGGGCACAGATAGGTGCCTCTCCCTCTTGCCACCAGGTAAGGATGGCTGCAGTGAGGAATGTGAGATGTGGGCTGATGCGCCCAGCAGACAAGAGTCAGCTACCCTGGGAGAGTTCAGCACTGGGTGTAAGGCCAGGTCATATCACACTGCAGCCCCTGCCCCAGTGACTCTTCTCCAGCTGGCATGGCGCTCCTTGCAGCGGGGCGGTGGCCGCACCCTCTCCTCTAGTGACACTCCACCTCCCTTGTCAGCAGTGTGGTCTGATTTGCCGTAGTCATTCCCTGTCCTCGGCCACGGTGGGAAGCCGTCTGCTTGCGTCTGCCTAGGCTGCTGCCTTCTGGTTGCTGGTTGCTGTGGCGATGCTGCTAAGCTCGGCTGGAGGGCCCTGCACTCCCTGTGGCCCCCCTGCCTCAGGCTGCTCCGACTCCCAGCAGTGCATTCGGCCCTTCACCTGCCAAACAGACAACAGCATGAGCCACCCGCTGCTCCTCCCAGCCCCACCTCAGGTTGGATAGGAAACTGGGCTCTGAAAGCGCGGGAATGATCCATTGACTCCCTGCTCCTCTGGCGTGCTGCAGGATTAGTGCCCAAATCACAGCAAAACAAACATGTCTGGCTGATGCCTACCCTTCTACTTCTCTCTTGGTTGGTCCAATTTGTCTGAAGCCAGGTGCACAAGGAAGAGAAGTGAGGTATACAAGGCCTCTGCCTATCTGCACCCCACGCTGAGTCCTACCCACTGGACCCTGCAGACCTCACCTTCTCTGAATCTCTGCATCTGAATAGGATTCAATAATATGATCCTGCTGTGATGCCCCTCTGGTGCTTTATTACCCAAAGGTACCCACGGAGCTTAGCCTCACCCTGTTTTACAGTGGGGTTCTGGCTATGACCCTGCCTGGCAGAGGCCCAGGCTCCCTTAACCTCAGGTCTGGGATAAATGGATGCCTCCCTGCCTCTCACCTCCTCTTGCAGGGGCTGGGTTACCTCTCCTCTCACAGAATAGGATATGTGCCAGGAGGGAGGTCTGGCCATTGACTTCCCTCATGGGTACTCTGTGGCACCAACCTTAGGAGTAAGCAGATACACAGGGACCAAACCAGGCAGAGGCTGCAGACCGTAGGGATAAATAACGCAGGGTACCTAAGTGGACAGTGGCTTGGGGATGGCCTTGAAGAATAGGCAGAGGTGGTCTTACTTCTGGTTGGGCGAGAAGTAAGGATGGAGGCATGGGTCAGGGGCTAGCAGGTGGGCAGGGTCTGCAAGACAGGGCACTATGCTGAAGTCTTGTTGGGGAAGGCCAGGGTACCTCCCAAGGACAGTGGGAATCGCTAAGTCTAGGCTATGCATGGTAGCCCAAAGTCCCCCCTCCCCAAGTCTGAGGTGGAATCTTTCACTGACCCTGGCTGGGCCTAGGCTATAGCATCCTGTCGAAAGCAAGGGAAGGGGCAAACCCCAGAACACTCCTGTGACCTGCTGGGTGGCTGGGCCAGTCTTCCTCTACCAGAGAGCTCAGGCTTCTGACACTGACTGGGAGCCCATGGAGGCACCTGCAATTGCATAATTCTTCCCTTGCCTTCCCTCCTCAGCCATTCTGCCATGACCAGCATTCACTCCTCTAATATCTCTTATGGTAGGCCCTGAGGTGGGAAGGCCTGAGGCAGACAAGACCTGCCAGCTAAGGACCTCACTCTGTCTATACTCCTAGGTGTGTTAGCTTCCAAAACTCAACCTGCCCCAGCTGCCTCTGCTTTCCTTACCTTCCTTGCTCCAGGACCTAAAGAAAATCACTCTGCTCTCCCCACACCAGCTGACCTCTCCCTGGCCAGGTTCCACCGCCTACCCTGCCCTCTCTTCACTGCTACCTCCACAGAGGCCCCCAGCTAACAAGTGACACACATGACTTTGTGTGCTGATGCAGCCTCCTCCCTAATTGGGGGTTCCAGGTGAGCAGGGCCCATCTTGGCCTTGACCCCAACATGAGCAAAGCAGTGCTCTCCATGTGGTGGGCCCTTGATAGGTGCTGGGGATGAAAAGAAGAAAGGAAGAAAGTGAGGCTGAGCAATCTTCCCACATTTCTGCAGTTCCATCTGCCAGGCCTCCATGGAAGAAGAGTGCACCAGGGAACACCCCAGGAACATCTCTGCTGAGAGCAGTGATTAAAAGGGTCATTCAATGAGGCTGAATCCCATTGAGGTTGAAATTATGCCTGAGAATGGAAGCCTCAAGAAGCACCTTGAGATGGTACAGTAGATGTCTAGGAGCACCTGCTTGAGTGTAATACATGTAGTGTACTCATGTGCTGGAATGCACATGAGGTCTGGGCGCTAGTTCCCTAGCAGCAATGAGTTCAGGGTTATGGAACCTCAGCAGAGTTTTTTTCTCTTTTGTATTTTATTGTATCTTTTATATTTCCTTCAATGAACTAATATTAGGAAAAAATCTGCAAACAAATGTAATGGCATTGACAAGCCCCTGTCTTTAATTCACATCCGGGGCTTGCTTCTCTCTGCTATGGAGTGAATGTTAGCAAGGTCAAGGAATCCTGTGACTGCTCTTTTGTCCCTGCTAATGACTTAATCCCATCTGACAACCCCTTGGGATGGAAAGGGTGTGAGCAGACCTCAGCCTGCTATGCTTCTGGGAGCACCAAGGCCCTTCCTGCCAGTGCCATCATTCTGGCATGATTGCCAACAACCTCCACTTGGGAGAAGCCTGCCTGGGGAAGTCCCTGTCATCACCATTCTTTTCAATTCAATGTTTTAAAATCCAAGATACAACCAGGCCTGAAATGATACAAATGCCAGTTGGTAGCAGACCCTATCCTTCCTTCAGCTGGTCAGTGTTGGGCAAAGATTGTCCAGAAAATAAGTTTCTCCCAAATGAACCTCCCAAGCTGTTTGCTGCTACCCAGGAAAAGCAGGCTTGTGGCTACCTTTGGAACACCCTGTAATGACCCCATTCTTAGAACATGGTCTAGTACAGGCAGGTAAGATGTAAACCTCAGAACTGGGATTCCTGGGGGTCAGGTGAGGGAATACTTTGCCTTGATGTAGAGTTGCACCTGAACAGACTAGGCCACGGGCCATTTCCTGGCAGTTCACACTTTCTCATCTCAGGTCCCCATAAAACCCCCACCCAAATGTGGGTCCAGCACAGGCTGTTCTCTGCAGAGCTGGATCTATCACCTCAACTCTCCTCAGGTTGCTCCATCTGTAGCACCTCTTGACTGGCCTCATAGGTCGGCACATTTGTAGTAACTCCCCGCCATCAATTGGGTGCTTCTATCTTCCCCCTTCTCTCCCCCATGCTGCTGAACCTCTTTGTTCTCTGCATCTTGTCCTATCTTTCTGGTCCTTATCTTTGGCTGGGATTTCCTTAAAAATGAAGAGGCCAGGGGGCTGGGGTTGTGGCTCAGGGTAGAGGGCTTGCCTTGTACGTGTGAAGCACTGGGTTTGATCTTCAGTACCACATAAAAATAAATAAACAAAATAAAGGTATTGTGTCCATCTACAATTAAAATATATGTATGCTGGGGATGTGGCTCAAGCGGTAGCGGGCTTGCCCGGGATGTGCGAGGTACTGGGTTCGATCCTCAGCACCACATAAAAATAAAATAGAGATGTTGTGTTCACTGAAAACTAAAAAATAAATATTAAAAAATTATCTCTCTCTCTCTCTAAAAAAAGATGTGTGTGTGTGTGTGTGTGTGTATATATATATATATATATATATATATATATATATAGATAGATAGATAAATGCAGAGGCCATGTAGTGCAGGAGAGAGGTAGGCATATGGGCAGAGGGCTACTCTTGATGGTCTCTAGCTCTGTGAGCTGGGCAGGTTGGTGTGGGCAGAGTCCCTGTACAGGTCACACACCAGAGGAGGAGCACACTCAAAGGGCCTGTGTATTAGGGATGGCAGGGATGAACCATGGTGACTACAGAACTGAAGGGTAGTCAGAGTGACTGGGCATAGAGAGGAGAGAAGTACAGATGAAAGGAAGGGGCACAGCAGAACAGAAGGGTGGTCAGAGTGGCTGGGCACAAGGAAGACAGAGGTACAAGGTGAGAGGACAGAACAGAAACCTAGCTGGGGCCTTGGTTTTCCTTCATCAAAGAGAAAAAGCCACTGAAGGGGTTTAAGCCACATATGCAGGTGCATGTTTGTGACAGTGATAGGTATATACCTTTGGGTGTGCACATATAGGTCCATGTCTGTGTCTACGGTGGATGCATGTGTGTGGACCCACCTGAATGTGTCTGTACAGCTGCATGTGTACCAGGGAAGATGTGTTCTGAGAGCAGAGGTACCTATGAAGGGGAGGGACTGGCAGTGGTATAGCAAGTGGGGTTGAGATGATGATTCAGGGATTCTCTGTTATACTTACTTACTGATTCTCTGTTATACTTACTTACTGACCTGTGGCTTTGAGCTTGACACTGGGTGGAGGTGGCAAGTCAGGATTTGAGCAAGGAGTTCCATGACCAGCAACCCCAGTGGCTGCTGGGCTAAGGCCAGACTGGCTCCTGCACAAAGACATCCAGGTGAGAGGGTAGCACTGTGGGTGAGGGCTGTGGAGGAGGATGCAGCAAACAGACACAGACACAGGCTATAGGCTATAGGACAGGCAGTGCCTGGTGATAAAGTGGTGACTGTGTGAGAATAGGGAGGTGTTAAGGGCATCCCAGGAATAGTCAGCAGGCTGGGAGTGAGGCCTTTCATGGAGAGGAGATTCTCCAGGAAGTGGCAGGTGTTGGCAAAGTTGTCACTTCCCTGTAATGTGGGACTCTATTCTGCTGTGGCAGGGGATCAGTACAGATGTGTGGAATGATTAATCACTGAGTACTAGCCAGCCCTACCCGTGTTCCACAGCAGCAGAGCTTGAGGCACATAAAGCATGATGAATTCACCAGGCCTGAGTCTGCAGCCCCCCTGCTTCCTCCCCCGTTGTCTTGGGAAACTAGCTCTCCTTGATCTATGGCTCTAGACAAATTCTATCCTGACCTCTGAGAGGTCTCCTTAACTCATCTACCTAAAGGTTTCAAGGTATAATCCCCAAACCCTAAGCCCATTCAGGGACCCCTCTCCTGAAAGCTCCTCACTGCCTGTGTTCTCAAGGCCAGACCCTTTAGCACACACAGGGAATCCCTTCAGTATCCTGCCTGCCTGCCCCTCAGGCCTCTGATCCTGGTCCTAGTTGACTCCTGGCAGGCTGGCCTGCCCTCATATCATGTTTCCCCTTCCCCAGACATGGCCCTCTCGAGGCTGCTCTTGGAATAGATGTGGGTGACAGCCCTGAACCAGGGCAGGACATGGTTGTGGAGGGATGGTGCTGCCACTTCTCTCAGTGTCTTGGCATCATGGATGCCCTCCGTATCGGCTGCTACTGCTCTCCCCTGGCCTGTCCCCACAGCCTGTGATTGCTGGGCATACAACCTGGCAAC